ACAGCCTTAATAAAAATGGCAGCGAATTTGAATGATTCATGGAGTCAACAGTTGTAATGGCTGGTTAAAATCGCACATCTGATGAAAGTGCTGTATTGTGTCTTGCTGCTCCCGCAACTTTTGACCGTGCTGCATGCATTACTGCGCCAACATTTGGTAGGCCGATTGAGCGTGAGAATTCATAAGTGATCTGCAAAACGTTCGTAACAAAAGTTATGAACAAGTCGCGAAAGATAATTACGAATTATCAGCACATGCAAATAGTATACTGATACAGGTTTTATTTTCAGGGGCACATCGGTCGCACAGAGCTTGGTATGCGTCTGCTACCTTCGTGTTTTATCCCTGCCGTGGTCAAAATCGCTGAAGAGTGTCCCGTATATTCGGTTCGTGGGTGCGCTATTTTTGTTCTCAATCTTGTATGCCAGAATCAAGTTGGTGCTGAACGATTATTTTACCTCGGCTGGCCGAACAACTCTGAAATTGATTTCAGGTGGTCGAACGACCTGCTTTCTGTATTTTCTCAGGATTACTGCGAAATCCAGAGAACATTCTTTGAGGTTTACAGGACATTCCATATGGAATCGTTGCAGTCCAACATTAATTTCCCACAACACCCTGAATGCCACAAATTTGGCCGTTGTCATTGTTGTGAAGAATTGCTGCGGGGTCTATCATCACTGGAGAACACAGTTGATGATAACCCTATCTTGAGCATCTCAGTTAGCCTCAAAATGACCCGTATTTTGCCCGTTTTTGTGCGATGCTGCGCCGATGTCTGTCTCTCGTCAGGCAATTTTTATTCAACGAACAGCACTGGAAACGGCGGTACTGCTTTGCGAAGCCATGATGCTTACCAGAACTGCATCACCGGTATCTGTTCTCCATCCTGTTGTCTTCTCGCAAAGATTCAGTGTTGTCGCGTTCGACACCCTGATTGCACCTGCGACGAGGATATCAAGTTTCTTTCGCAGATTAACCGCAATCGCAGAAGATTTGGAATCATGAAATGGATCAAGACTACAGACGCCTATGCGGATGCAGAGAATAGATCGCCTGATTTCACGTCGCGATTCGGTGCACCGAGTTTAGCCAAGATGGACAGACTTAACGATCACGGCAAAACAAGTTTAGAACTACAGTACGTTAAACTCAGGTGCGCAGTTTCTTTCATTCAGCCGTGTTTCCGCAACTAATGACTGGATCAGGGCTCACAGACATTAGCAGTAAAACTTTATTCTGTGCGTAAGCAAAATGCATTCATTTTACTAACATTTGTTGCCGGCGGTTCTTTTTGGATCACGGCGACACCTGCTCCAAGTGGCTTTTCTAATGGGCCTTTCACCGGATAAGTAAGCTTCTCTGCTGGATTTGAAGGAATGACAATAATACGTCTTGTTATATTTTGACCATCTGCTCTCAGTCTGCCTCTCACGCTTCGCTGCTGTGGCAGCTCTGTAAGTCCTTATTATCACATGTCCTGACCATCTGAAAAACAGTATGAACACTGTTTATTAATATACAACGCAAAAAATAATATTGTCAATCGGATGATTGGTATCGGTCAATCATACTGAGGTGAGGTATGCCTTAGCAGTTGCTGCCGCCTCTCATATGGTGTTTGTTGAAGTGAGATAACCAAAACTGGTTACTTTTGCTTTAGTACTTTCCAGAACTCCTCTCAACCTGACATACTCCAGTCAGCCACAGAATACCTGAGTGGTTCGCAGTTTTTAGTGTCTCTAGTTGGATTTCGTCTTACTCGACAAATTTGCCTCTTTTCAACGATTTGATCGCTTCTCTCACTTTAGCCATTGAGGTTCCTTTATCCAGAAATGCATTTGATGAGTATCATTAGAGCCGTCAGAAATCAGATTAAGGAGCTTTTGGGGTATTGCGCCATCTCAACAGGATGTATTCTTCGCGTATTGAGGGTTTACACCTGAAAATTGTTTCTATTAGTAGGTGGTACCTGATGTTTTTCTGCGTCAATGGCTGATTATCGGCCAGAAACCTGTTCGCTGATTGATAGTTCAGGGTGATCTCGTTAGGTCTATAATTCTCTCAACTTTGAAAATCTGCAGTAGTTTTATTTTCGACCTCTGATATGTTCATCGTTATTTATGGCGTTGGGTAAGACAGCGATTTTAACATTTGGTGTGTACGCGTATATGCATAAATTTCACCATTGTTTATCCTCTGTGCTATGGTTTGAAGGGCTTAAACTTATGATTTCTGCAGGAATGATTAGTGATTTTTGACATAATTCCCTATTTTAATTTGTTCGAAGGAGTTCTGAGGTAATTTCCTCATGTTTCATTCACTAAAGAGGGTTCATGTAGTGGGCGTATAAAACTGAACTTTAGTGCACGTCTTATCGCTTAAGGGTCTCTGTTTCTGTAAGCGTTACATTACCGAAAGGCGACACAGAACTTTGCTTTCTATTATGTTCTGTTTAGTTTTTAATTATTTTGGAATTTTTGTAAGACTGCATAAAGTTCCTGTAGCTCTGTTTTCTTCTGCAGCGTTTCAAGGCAACACCGCGTCTACCAAAGTAGGATAGCGAAAACATTCACTCGCTACTGTTTTCCTTGCAATCTTCAACAGATCGTTGATTCTCAGGTAGTTTAATATTTCTTTTTCGTGCTGTTATCCTAAACGTTTAGTTCAGCCATCCACGTTTGCTGCTTATAAACCTTCAAAGATTACTGAAGACGCCCGCAAGACAGAAATATTTTATATCGATGGCCATATGAAGGATAGATGTTTGTCTTGCGAAGGTGCGAAGCGACCGTCGTTGGAAAGAGCAGCTGCGTCAGATGCGGAATGCCATAAGGGTGTCAAATATTCGTTGTCGACGGACAAAACTCTGCCGTCGGAGAGCGTCTTCGCTCAGCAAACCCTTCGCAGAGAGGTCTTGCGATTGGTGTCGTTGCTAACCGTTCGTCGAAGATACGCAGAACGCGAATTGCTCAGGTTCTTTAATCAACATACGGTATTTCTCGTATGGTTGCTTACTTTCAGACTAAAGCATGAAAATCCACAAACCTTCTCATCGCTTTGCCTCTATTCAGACATCTGCTATGTGTTGTCTAAATACCGATTTTCGATGCAGTCTCGGCGCTTTTCGCATGAAATATTTTCAGAAGTTGACTTCTCGCCGTTGTGGCTTTGGCCAAAGCTGATTTTGCAACTTCCCTACGTTCAGAGCCCAAAGCCAACTCTCAAGGAATAAAAGATATTGCCGAACGTTTTCTGAACTGTACATGCGGTATGTTGTATTCGAGAGAGAGAGAGAGAAAGTGATTCGCGAACAGCTTAAACTAACACGGCCGCAGCTACTGCTTACCTTTTGTTAAACGAAAATTCATGGTTATGAATGAGAACTGATTAATTTATTTTATTACGAATGCAAAGTTGTCATTTCATCCATCTCTGACCACGTGGTATTACGTAGAAAATAAGCTGGAATATTTGACCATGCCTGAACAATGCATCTCACCACTCCCTCTCCGATTCCATTCCAGTCAAATCACGACGAAAGTCATTGGTATTCGTCTGACATCGTTCAACCTAAATGAATTGGTCCCAAACATGTTTAGGTTATTCAGATAGCATGTCGATGTTTCACCTCGAAGAAAAACTAATGGGACAAATAATTACTGTCTAAATAGTTCCACGAAATATGGAATTTTCGGTGATGGTAACTGTTGCTATGATGGTCACTTTCCGTAAATCTGAACTCAGCATTTACTTCACAGCATGTTGGTAACAGTCTCGGTAAGGGATCTCTTATGTTTGAGTAAAGTACGATGGAGCCTCATTCTTTAGCAGTTTACCCTTTGACGGTTGGCTGTCGAGTCGTGGATTGATGTTCCCTGTTTGTACTTTCAGAGATTAAGTTAATTCAGTTGACGAAGTTTGGAACCCGCAGTCGAAAGAATGGTAGGTTCAAATTGTGAATTAGTCACTCGCCTTCAGTTATTCCTAGCAAATGCGTGAGTACCATAAATGACTACACAGTATAGTGGTCACTTCACTGTACATACCGTTAGTAAAGTTAAATCGACCCTGGTTGATAATGGCATAATGTTTATCAGTATCGCCCTGTAAAGTCCAAAAATTAATGCCAAAAGGCCTAGAAGAAGCCGACTTCTCAACTCTTAAAAATTTTTCATTTTATGGTTAATCATGGTTAATCTACTTAGGT